AGGGACATACCCAAACTATAGTAGTTGCTTTATGTGTGTGCGTGTGTGTGGAGAATTGATTACCAGGGGCTCGGGCTAGTGCTTGGCTCTGCCATGTAATTAGTTCACACAGCATTAGATCCTGTTCTTAGTTTTCTCATTTACATACTGTCTTCTCTGTTTGTGCTTCTGAAGCAGAAAACCACAGTCCTTTCTAAAGTACAGAATTTTTTTTGAAAGATTCAGAATTACATTTATTTAGTGTTATTATTTACTAGTATATGTGTGTGCACTACAGTGCAGGTATGGGGGTCAGGGGACAACTTGTGGGAGTTTGTACTCTCTTACCTTGTGGGCCCTGGGAATTCAGGCCATCACGCTTATCAGCAAGTGTCTTTACAACAGAGCCATCTTGCTGCCTTACAGTTTGTTAATTTTTTGTTATTATAAAAGAATGGAATTTACCTGGCTCACAGTGGTGGAGACTGGCAAGTCCAAGAGCCCAGAGCCTGCATCTAATGACGGCTGTGTGCTGTGCCACAATGGGATGGAAAATGCCATGGGATAGGGGTGGGGTTTGGAGGGTAGAGAATCATGCTTTCTTCAGAAGCCTATTTTCCTCATAACTGACCCACTGCTGTACTGACAAGAGTTCATTTGTTTGTTTTTTCAAGACAGGGTTGACTGTCCTGGAACTCACTCACTGGAGAGCAGGCTGGCCTCCAATTCACAAAGATCCTCCTGCCTCTGCCTCCCCAAGTGCTGGGATCAAAGGTGTGTGCCACCCACACCCAACTGAGTTCTGAACTGTTAAAGATCCCCCCCATATCTAAACACTGTCCCATGGGGTTTAAAGCACAGTACTGTGGCTGACATTGCCAAGCCACAAACGCAGAACCTCGACTTCAATGATTGCCTGAGGTTGCACAGCAGGAAGTACTAGAGCTGGAATTGAGATCTGTGCAGTCTGGACCCGGAGTCCACACCTTCCAGCGCCAGGTCAGACAGAATGAATGGCTGAATGCATGCATGAAGGGATATAGTCAGCCCTCTCTCTGAACTGGTGGATCTAAACAGGATGGTGTGGTGTATGTGGTGTTTGTGTGCGTGTTGCCTCTCTTAAACAGCTTTTTTGTTTGTTTGTCACAACTTGTGGGAGGGGTGCTATCTGTACAGGTGGCTAGAGGCCAGGCATGCTTCAAAGCATCCTCTACAGAAGACAGCTCTCCCCAAAACAAAGAATCACATACCCCAAATGTCCATGGTGCTGAGGTGGAGAAACTGCTCTGAACCTAACCCACAGCTTTCACATTTTCCCCAACTCCTGCTGCTGTAGAATCTTTTTGTTGTTGTTTGTTTTTTGAGACTGGGTCTCTCTACATATCGGAATTAAAGCTGGCCTTGAACTTTCAGAGATCCAACTGCCTCTGCTTCTGAATAATCTCAGTCCCTCAATCAATCTCCCACCGTTTGATGGTCTTTCAAAACACTTATTCTGAAATGGCCGTCTGTACATCTCTGGTGAGTCAGCAGGCTGCTGCGCTCTGACATCACCTTTTCCCATTTGATATCACCAACCTCTGACCCTAAGATGGTAGCTGGAGACATAACCAGAGCCTTTTTGACAAGAATTCTGCTGGGGTGCTCCCCGTGCCTATGTGTCTGCAGGGAGCCTGGAGCCAGCTTGCCTCTAGGGACTGTGTTGGTGCTTGCCTGAGCCAGTAGTGTTTTCCATTGGCTCAACACCTATCTTGTGCTGTCATGCCATGTTGGAGGTACCCTGCTGGCTGAGGTTACAGTTCCTGCCTGTACTGGATAGCCATTATGAGCTCTGCATTAAAGGCAGAACTCCCTCCCCTTGGTGGGGTCCCCTGCTTTCTGCCTCACTTCATCTGGAGAGTGTCTGTAGGTACAGACTCCCCTAACCACATTTGACAAGTGGCCTCTGACACAGTTCCCTGCTAGCTTTCCCTTCCCTGTGTCTATATGTTAATTAGGTACTGAGTTTCTATTCTTCTGACAGGATCATGCTGTATAATGCAAATCAAGCATTCCTGAAGTGCCTAGTTCCAACCAATTATGTCCATCTGTTCTTGGATTCCCCACCCACTCTGCAAGGGGTATACAACCTTTGTTCTCTGGCTTTAAAGTTGAACTAGCCATCAGCTGTTTTTGGGGTGTGTGATCCTTGTACAGTTCTCGACAGCCATTCCAGGCGTGAGTCTCATCTCCTGCCCCTCCTGACTTCGTGGGCTGCTGGGAGGCAGCCCCCAGGCAGGAGGAGATCCAACAATGCCATGAGCAGGCACCAGAGTGAAGGCATTTCCCAAGGTTGCAGATTCCATTTTCTTTCCTTCCTTCCTCCCCTTCTTCCTTTCTCCCTCTCTCCTTCCTTTCCCATCTCTCTCCCTCCCTCTCTTCCTTCTTTTCCTTATTTTGCCTCTCTATTTTTTGAGACAGGGTTTTATTCTGTAGCTTACTCTGGTTTTGAATCCATTGCCTCAGTCTCCGGGCATTGGGATTTACAGGTGCACTCAACTTTACCAACAACTCTGTTTTTCTCAATAGAGTTCTCAAGCTATATGCCAGGGTAGGTGGGCAGTCCTGAACTCAGAACTCAGAAGATAGAGGTAAGGGGGGGTATCTCTGAGCTCAAGGTCATCCTGGTCTACAGAACTCAGAAGATAGAGGTAAGGGGGGGTATTTCTGAGCTCAAGGTCATCCTGGTCTACAGAGCGAGTTTCAGGACAGCCAGGGCTACACAGAGAGACTCTGTCTGGGGTGGGGGTTGGGGAAGAAAAAGAAAAAAGAATTCATAACTTATACCCACTGCCCAAGGGGTCATGGAACCCAATATTTATGGGCCACTTAGCTGATGTCCCATATGGGGGAAACTGAGAAGACAAGGAACTAGTTCAGAACAAGAAGCTTGTACTGGGCATGGGGTTGAAATCTGAATCCAGGCTACTTGAAAGCAGAGCTCACTTGTGCTCCCAGGCCTGGGGCCAGACCTCTCTGACATCACCTTGCAAGTCTTCTAGGCTCTCTGACCATCACCTTGGCAACCCCTGGCGGCTTCTCCCATTGGATATCACTTGCAGTGCCTTTTCTTCTAATCCACTCAGCTCAACTATTGCTGAAGGAGAGCAAAGGGGCTGTCCCAGGCCCATTGTCTAAACATATCAGGCTACAAGACACCATTTTCCTTTCAACAGTCAGAGTCCACCATTTTCTTTGGGCGAAATAGAGAGTAGTTAAGGATACACTTTTGTATCTCCTTCTAGACAGTGAATTTCCAGGAGGAAACAACAAAATCCTCTTATCTGGACACTTGGCTACACGTGGCACTTAAAGGGGCCTGGTATATGTGTTCAATGAGAAGATGAATGAGCTTCGCAGACTCACGGTGGTGGAAGACTTGAAAGCATGTTTTAGTCATGGGTCTTAACTTGAAACCCAAGGTCACTTCCAAGTTGTGATCCTGGGCCATGTAGGCCTATGCTAAGGCCAAGAACAGGCAAATGTTTTCTTCAAAGAGTCGGTGTTATCTTCATTTTTCTGCCCTCACAGTCTCTCGATATTCAACGCTCCTTGTTTCTGAAAATGGCCAGAGATAATACTAAGCTGACAGATGTGGTCGTGAGCTTATTAACCAAGATAAGGAGGAGGCCTGCTGTGGGCTGTCAAGCCTCAGACTTACTGGGGAAAAAAAAAGAAAAAAGACTCAGGGCTGGAGAAATAGGTCAGTTGGCAAAGTACATACTTTGCTGGAATAAGAACATAAATTTGATCTCCAGAACACACGTAACAAACAAACAAACAAACAACAGAAACAAACCCAGGTGTGATGGGGCATGCTTGTAATCTGACCATTGGAATTAGGACGAAGACTGATCCTCACGACTATTGTCCAGCAGCCTGGCTTAATCAGTAAGCCAAATGAGAGACCCTTTTTGAAAAAACAAGGTGGATCTGGGCATAGTGAAGCTTGTCTTTAATCTCAATGCTAGGGAGGCAGAGGCAGGAGGATCTCTCTCTCTGAGTTCAAGGCCAGGCTGGTCTTCATATTCTGTTTCAGGACAGCCAGGGCTACATAGAGAGACCATGTCTCAGAAAAAAAAAACACACACAAAAACAACAACAACAACAACAAAGCAAACCAAAGCACACACAGTCAAATACACAGTGGATGGTCCCTGAGGTTAGCCTCTGGGCTCTGCATTCATATGCATACATATCTACACATACCTGCAGGTATGTGAGTGTAACACCCCCCCCCCCATACACACACTGAAAGATCAAAGAAAAAGCCCCGGAAGTTGGTCCTGTTATACTCAGGCCAGAGTGCATGAACTCTAAAACACTAAGTCCACCCAATTCAATTTACCGAGCGACAGCTCCTGGGGCTTGTACACAACAGTATTTTATTTTCTCTCCACCTCACTGTGATGCTCAACCCTTGAGACATAACAGCAGATTAGGATCTTGAAATTCAGGAACCAGACTGCTAAGGTTTGCTTCCGCCGCTGAAAGTGTTCTGGGAGCTTGAAAAAAAAAAATAAGCTCCTTGATTTTGTCAGATGTACTATCTGTAAAGCTGGGGTGGCCACCCATCTCTGGGGGTTGGGGAGGCGGGTGGTGGGTGTTGTGATCAGGCCAAGGCAGACCAACACAATACGACAGTCCTTGGGGGGAGGGAATATAGGGAGGCATCAGTGCGCTGATGGTCCAGTTCCAGTGCGCTGACAAGTCTGTTCGCGCGAGCTCCCTTTGCTCCTAGAAACCCCAGACACTTAGGTGTTCAAGCCTACCTCACTGTACCGGCGCAGTCCCAACCTCTTGGCTACAGGGGTCTGAAGCCCCGCCTACGGGACCACGAAGCCCCGCCTATGCACGCTGGGATTCGTAGTCTTTCTGGCTCGCCGGTCTCAATCTCAGCTTCTATTGGTTGTCTTAAACGCCACTCCCCGAGACCTCACCAATCAGGGTGCTCAGGTAGCTCGAGTGCGGGGAGCGGTGGCGGTGCAGCTCAATCTCAGCAGGGCGGATTCTGGAGGAGGCTGCTTTGAGGCTGCGCGACACCCGGAGTTCCCACGGTTCGGCCGTCACCGCGGCGGTCACCCGCCCAGGTAATCCGGGGACCTCCGGGAGGACCTACGTGTTTTTGGCTAGGTTTTCTATCCCCCAACCCTGTCTGAGTCGTGTCTCCCTCCTGGAAGCTCCCAGCCCTAGGCTTGTTTGTGTCGAGAGTACGCTTTGCTTTTTCCCTGGAAGGCAAAACTGAGGCAGGAGGAGGAGCCGCTGAGGTCCCACAGCCAGATAGCGCCTGCCTCAGTCCCGGGCGTGGTTGTTGATGCTTTTAACTTGGACCATTGCACCCGTAGAGAGGGGACCATTCACGATCTCAACAAAAATACCAGTACAGGAATACCCCAAATATTCCTTCTGAGAAGGGCTGGTGGGTTTCAGAGTGGCTCACATCCACCTTGAAAGTGAAAGCCAGCCTTGTGTGGTCTGCGGCCCCTGTTAGGGTTAGGACTATTTTGTGCAAGCTAATGTAAGACGCTAAGAGCTGGAGGATGCAAGGTAGGTCGCGTGCCCCGTTTATAGATGTAAATGAGTGGTCAGGGTTTGAGACTCGCCCCGTGATCTGTAGCGACTGGAATATTCTTCACTCTGGAGCTGCAAAACAAACGTTTATTGGGCTGTAGTAAGCTTTGGTTTTGGCTTTGCCTTGAGACAGAGCATCAGTCTCGCCATGTAGCCCGGGTTGGTTTTGAATTCAGTGACCCTCCTGCCTCAGCTTTCTGAAGGCCGGGATTACAGGACTGGGACACCATGCTATAGTCTTTGTTAACATTTTTGGGATGAGTTTGTTTTGATAAGCATAGAGGTAGTCCTCTCGCTTGGGAGGAAGTACGACTTCATGCAGAGCGGAGTCGGGTGAAGTTGGGGTTAAGTTGGAGCGATTGGCAGTGGCTAGAGGGATGGAGGAGGAGTGCGCCTTACTTGGAAGACAGCAAGGCAAAGTTGTGGACAGTGTTTTGAATCTGTAACTGTGGAGCCTGCCAGGAGTAAGAGATTACATGTGTGGAGTGAATTGGTCCAGGAGGATAAGTGCATCGATAAGGCCTCTTAGTGGGGTGGGGACTTTGGATGTTGTCCTGAATACCCAGTGAGCTGCGTTTAGTGTACATTTCTCTTTATCTTGCAGGTTTTGTAGGGTAGAGAGTGTTAGAGAAGGCCACAGTGAAGACCAGAAGGGCATCCCGGTACCCAGGGGAGTCACAGTTGTGGTAGGAAGAAGGAGATTCGAGGCCAGTTAGGAAGTGCACCACACTGTGCCCAGGACGATCGATATTGCTGTGCATACCCCCTGGGGGGCTTTCACAGGGGCCTGGATGGTGTAGGATGCTCATTGTGGAGCTGCTGGGTATGGTCAGAGATGACGTGATGTGCATGAGAAGTAGGAGGCTGCTGCTGGGCCAACCTGGCTGCTGTCTCACAGAGCATTTGCTATTTATAGTAATGGGGAGGACTTTTGGGAGTAGCTAACAAACTGGTTAGCTACTGGTACATAATTACACGTGGCCGGGAGCACAGTGGCTCGTCAGAAACACATGAGTAAAGCACTGGGTCACAGCATTGTGAACGCTCCAGTGACAGTAGTGAGGGGACATCTGGCTCTTGATCTTCCAGATCTGCCATTATATATATGATGTGACATTGAAAATATAGGTACTGAGCCGGGCGTGGTGGTGCACACTTGTAATCCCAGCATTCTGGAGGCAGAGACAGGTGGATTTCTCTGACTTTGAGGACAGCCTGATTTATAGAGCGAGTCCAGGACAGCCAAGACTATTACACAGAAAAACCAAACCCTGTCTTGAAAAACCAAAAAAGAAAAGAAAATACAAGTATTAAGCTATCACTCTCTCACTGGAGGTTATGTCACTGAGGCCTCCTACCAACAGCTTTGATTCTGTTTGCTTAGGAATATGTTAGATGCTTGTGGTTTCTGTGATGGTAAAAGATAATTTTTTTTAAAGGTGAAGTTATCACCGTACACATCTTAAAAATGAGTATGTGTTAAGAGTTTCTCTTAATAATAAAACTTGCTGGGTGCGGTGGCGTACGCACTTGGAGAGGCAGAAGCAAGTGTTGAGTTTGAGGCCAGCCTGGTCTACAAAGTGAATACAGGACAGCCAAGGCTGCACAGAGAAACCCTGTCTCCAAAAGAATAAGAAAAGAAACAAAAACCTGCTGAGGTATTATTACAGCTGGTTCAGAGGGAACTCCAGAGTGCAGCCTTGTCTGTAGACTGGAAATATTGGAGTGTGAAATGAGAGTGGGGTGGCTTGGGGGGGTCAAAGAAAGTTCATGCAGCTTCCCTTAGTTAGAACCCATTTGCATGTCTACATGGGCATTATTTGCATAGCTTTATCCACAGGAAGTAGCTTGACAGTAATTTTGATGGAACCATAATTAGATGGGCCTAGAAAGGCTAGGTAGTCTAGAATCTGGCTCATCACCAAATCTCTAATTCTCCTAGTTGAGGAATATGATAAACTCATGCAGTAAGATGGTTTCACTTGAGATAGGATGTAGTTACCTTAGTTTTCAACAGGAAAACCAAAAGACCTGAGACTGAGACCTTCATACTGTCCTCCTACTATAGAAAGGGAGTGGTGGTCCCTGTGTCATCGCACTTGCGAGGCCCTGTGTTTGATCCCTAGCAACTCAAAACAAGGCTGGGTAAACGGCATACTATGATCCTAGCACTTGGGAGGTAGAGGCAGTAGGTTCTAGAATTTTTGTTTGCAGGGGCTGAGGGGACGGGGGTTCAAGATGGGGTTCCTCTGTGTAGCCTTGGCTGTCCTGGAACTCACTCTGTAGGCCAGACTGGCCTAGGACTCAAGTGGTCTGCCAGTTTCTGTTTCCTGAGCACTGGGACTAAAGGTGCAACACCCCCCCACAGGCTCTAGAATGCTGAGTCATCCTTAGCTACGTAGGGAGTTGGAGGCTGACCTAGGTTACCTGAGACTATCTCAAAATACAACAGACTACAATACAATAAAACAAAACAGAAAAAAAACAACACAGCAAGAAAAAAGTTTGGTTGATGAAATGGCCCTAGCTGGCCGGAGGTAGTTCTGCACACATGTATTCCTAGTATTTTGGAGTTGGAGGCAGGAGGATTGTGAGTCCTGGGTCAGTCTTTGCTATTATAATGACACCGTATGTCAAAAAAGCAGCAAAAACAAGCGGAGTGTCCACACCGCCTCTTTGTTCCTTTTCCATGTTATCAGCTGTTCACAGAATACTTGTACTTTAACCTCTAGAAAACAGAGTATGATGAAGACTAGCCTGTTTGGAAAATTCTTCAAAGATGTCGTCATCAGCAAACTAGCTTGTTGGCTTGGCTTGGGCTTCCTCATCTGACCCAGAACCAGTATCCAGTGGTAGCAGACACTGAGAGGTCACACCTGTGGTGATGGAGATGTCATGGGAGGCTTTGAACTTGACCTAGCTACTTAGATGGCCCCAAGACCTTGCCTGTATTACTTGTATGGCTCGTGACAGTTTATCTAGAATGCTCACTCTGTTCCGGTGCCCCTAGTTGAATTAAGCCCATTAGATGGTCAGTTGTTTGATGTTGAATCAAGTCCTTGATTTGACTTCCTGGCCTAGCCCTGTAGTTGAACAGTGTCAAGGTGGGAATGGCAAAGGATGAACCTTTGGCAACTAGGAAAGTTGATGAGGTTTGTCAGTTGACCTAGGGAGTTTTGCTAAAAGTCTCCATGATGGGGGCACACAAGAGCTTTCACTAAAGCCTTAAAATAGCATGTGAGAGGTCACGAGTGTCCTGTGGGAAGAGCTGAAGACCTATTCTGGGTCCCAGCCTGGAGCTGTTGCTGCTGTCTATGGTCATGGGACCCACCAGGATTTTTCAGGTGCATGACAGTGGGATGGGCACAGTCCACTCAGCCGGGTTCATGTCACTCATCTGCAAGTTTCTCCCCTTCTCCCAGTCAGTTTCCTCTGCCTGAAAGGAGCAACGTGTGCTCACAGCCACCGTGAGGCTGAGTGAATAAAGAGACCATGGCAGGCCTCTGCCTGCTGCTCCTGCCCAGAAGTACAGCGACACATATCTGAGAAGGATGTAAGATACCAAAGGCTGGGTTTCAATGGCTGCTACAGTGCAGCTAATGGGGGTGGCTAGACCGGCTGTGTCTGCTCCGCAGCTCACAGTGTGGTTGGGCACTGACTGTTACCAGTGTCCTTGGGACTGTTTCCAAGGTTCCCTTGGATACTAAATAGGATGCTCAAGTCCTTTACGGGAAATAGCATCATTTGTATACAGCCTAGGCTTTTCCTCCTGTAACTCTTAACTCCATACTGGATGACTTCTAATAACTAGAACTCTCACAGGTGCTAAGATAGTTGTCATCCTAGTGTTATTGTTAACAAAGCCTCAGTCCTTCTATTTTACCAATCAAGACTTGGGAGCAGGATGCTGGGGTTGAAAGCCCGCTAACTCAGAGAGGCAGAGAAAGCATCCGTTGACTCTCCTCCTTAGCTGATGGCCCAGAAGGAATGTCCCTTCTCCATCTCAAATAACTCCCTCGAACTGAATGTCCCTTTCTTATATTTCTCTCTATCTGTCCTCCTGACTCCCTCTTACTTTCTCTGTGGGTTTTTGTTGTTGTTGTTATTGTTGTTGTTTGTTTTTTGAGACAGGTTTTTTCTGTGTAGCCTTGGCTGACCTATACTCACTTTGTAGATCAGGCTCGAACTCAGAGCCATCCATCTCCTTTTGCCTCTCTGCATGCTGGGATTACAAGCTTGGGCCACTGTTTTTTTCTTAATCATATGTTCACTTCCTGTCAACTGGTTGCTTGATCTGCCTCTTGACCTATGGTTGACTTTAGCTGTGTTTACAGTATTCAAGCAGAAAGCTCTTGGATTAAAGGTGTGTGCTAGGGTTGAGCCAGACCACAACTAGAAAAAGGTTTTTCCAGTAAATCTTGGAATTCACAGGGTGATCAGATATCCAGCAATATCAGTTTCTGCTCTGGAAATAGTGCCAAGAAAAAAGGCCATTGCAAGTTCAGCATAGATGAACACATATGCATGCATACATACCTACTGTGTGTCGGTGGTGTGTTGTAGTGTGTGTGTGTACACACATTCATGAGTGTGAGTGCAGGTGTGTGCGTGCCGCAGGTGCCCGTGGAGGTCATGGCACAGCCTCTGGTGTTGATCCTCACCTTCTAGTTCGATTAAGACAGACTCTCTTTGTGGTTCGCTGCTGCCTACACCCGGCCACCTACATGCCATCTTTCGCTATTTCTCCCATCTCACTGTAGGAGCGCAGGGATTACAGGCGAGGACTACCATGCCCAACTTTGACACAGATTCTGTTGATTCAAACTCAGGTCCTGTGCACTTGGGGCAAGAGGTTGACCCACTGAACCGCCCCCTTGACACCTCGAAGTGTTTTTGATTCGAGCTTGGTTAAATCTGTGGATCTGGAAACTTTGGACATTGAAAGCCATGTGTATTTTATTTGTTTCTTTCCCCCTAATATTGAGGTGAAAAATCACATATCAGTGCCACCCATGGACTGAGTCCCTCTTTGGCACTAGGTCATAAGAACCAAATTCAGCAGAGACTGATGTGTAAACAAGGGACCGGTTTGCTGATTTTGATGGGAAATTTTTATAGCTATTCAGGTTGTACTTGGGGTCAGGAGCTCATAATGTTTCCCAGGGCAACGTCAGTGAGCTGGCCTCCAGGCCATACTTGCTACCTGTTTTGTTTTCTTTGTTTGTTTTTGTTTTAATAGATAAAGCTTTGTTCAAACAACCATATTCATTTGCTTCCACATTGTCTGTGGTTGCTTTCATGATACCGTTGTCAGGGTCCAATGACTGTGTTAGAGATGGCCCGGCTTGCAAAAGAAAAAATATTTACTGTGTGGCCTTTTACAAAAAAGCATTGCTGGTTCCATTTTTGGGGAGGCCTTTGGGCAGCTGAATGAATTCAGGCTGAAGAAGCGTGCTGGTGGTCACAGGAACCTTCCGGTGTGTCCTGTGGAGAGCTCTGGGGACACGTGCTTCTGCACTTTGGCGTCCTCTCCCTGGCCCTTTGTCTGATAATGCCTCAGACATCATTAGGCCTTCAGGACTGCGGAGGAGCCTCCCTGCGTACATATTAACAGATCAGCAGATCACCACCCTTATCTGTTCTATATCATACTCTCCCACACCCCAGTTACCGACGGCAGAGGCAGATCTGGGAGCATTGACTCTAGTTACTCATCCATGAACACTGCAATGCAATGAAAGAATTGGGAATTCAAGCTGGGCGTGGCAGTGCATGCTGTAATCTCAGTACTTGGGATGCTAAGGTATGAGAGAGGGGGGTAGGAAGGAGGAAAAGATTGAGACGTGGGATGCTGAGTTAAGAAATTGGGGAGGGAAGGAGAGAGAGGGAGAGAGGAAGAAGGAAAAAAAAAAAAGGAACCGTAATTTGCCCTGTCTGAGGTTTACATACTGAGAATTTGTTCGAGCTTGAGATATTGGCAGTGGCCGGGCATCTTAGTCCCAGGTGCCAGGATGCTGGACTTAGGGCCAAGGAGGATGGGAACCTGTGGGGCTCTTGTTGAGGTCTCTGCATCCAAGTGACGCCTCAGGCTGGCAGCATCTGTGAATCCTTCCTGGTCCTGGCCTATGGCCACAGTCTGTACCACACGAGGGCCTCATGTGAACGGATGCGAGAAGTGGCCTCATTGGAGGAACCACCTCAGGCACACTGACTTCTCTCCCTCTCTCTGCAGACACAGGGCTTCCTTCCTCTCCTTCTTCTTTTTGATACTGGGATGGTTAAGCCAGGGGATGGGGTTTCTTCAGCTTAAAGACAGTCCGTGCCTTAGCTCCTGTGAGTTTTCATGAGAGCAGAAGCCAGGCAGAGGCAGCCTTGAAGGCTCCTTCCTGCTGAGTCCTCACGTCTTATCACAGGGTTGCAGGCCTGGGTGGGTCATTTCAGAACAGCCTCAGGACACAGGGTGAGGCTAATGTCACAATGTATGGTGGCCAGCATATGGCCTTTTTACCACTTAGTGTGGTTAAAATGTTTTCGAGGTTTTGACGTTAGCATGTATGATGGCACATGCCTGCAGTCCCAGCTTTGTTGGAAGCTGAGGCAGGAGGATTGCTTCCTAGGTGTTGGAGGACAGTCTGGGAAACACATCAAGACATTTGTTTCAAAACAATACAAAACAGGTTGTGGCATTAGAGTATAGTATAGGCTGGGTACATCCTTAAGCATTAAGTCTGTGGGTCAGAAACTAGAGGGCCAGGAATCCAGAGCACATAGGGCTGGTGTTTGGCCAAAGAGAACTCTCCAGAAACATTGGATATCTCACATCATGCCTTTCTTTGTTTCTTTTTTGAAAAAGAAAAAAAAAAAAATATATATATATATATATATATTTTTTTTTTTTTTTTTTTCAAGACAGGGTTTCTCTGTGTAGCCTTGGCTGTCCTGGAACTTGCTCTGTAGACCAGGCTGGTTTTGGACTCATAGAGATCTGCCTGCCTCTGCCTTCCAAGTGCTGGGATTAAAGGTGTGTGTCACCACCACCGGTGAAATGTTTATTTTTATTATTATATGTATGTATGTACCTGGGTAGGTGCACATGAATGTAAGTTAATGTGGAGCTTGGAGGAGGGATCCCTCGCCCCCCAAGCTGGAGTTAAGGGCAGTTGTGACTGCCTAACATGGATGCTGGGAATTGAGCTCAGGTCCTTCGCAAGAGCAGTGCCTTTTCTCAGCCTCTCATTTTTGTGAAACACATGAAAATGTTTGCCCGGCCTGGTATACAGATGCAGGCACTTGTTAGGTGTCAGTAGAAGACAGGAATAAAAGTTGGATTATAGCTTATCCAGATGGCTCACGCTTAGGCTTAAATTGTCATCACTATTGCTGACACAAAAACAGCCTTCACCTCAGAGGGAGTAAGAGTTTATTCCGGAGCCAAATATGAATGACCGTGGCCCAGGGGTCACATGTGGAAGTGGTTACATGTGGTTTTCATTAGGGACAAAACGAAGAAAGTCATGAATGAAAGGATTTACCACATACAGTAGTGGGGACCATAGACAGCAAAGGGGGTGTCACTTCTGTGGGGTTCAGGTGCTAACCTGACGACATTCTTGGCTTTTGGATTGGGGGGACTCTAGTAGTTGTCTGCTACGGCTGCTTTGTAAGGTTTTGATAAGTACAAGGATGTTGGGTTAGACACAGTGAAAAACAATGAGTGGTTTTCACAGGGCTAAAAATAGCCCAAGGTAATTTGGCTCTAGTCTGCAACATTTTTAACTCCATAACCTTGAAGTCTGGTGTCTGGCCTTGTAGAATCTTAACATGGGTGAGTGTCCCTCTCTGTCCCTGTGTCCCTTCCTGCAACTTGAATTCACACTGTTGTTTATGTATTGGATATTTGTAATTTAAAAGCAATCTCCAAAGGGGGCAGTTTAAGAGATTGCCCTGTTTTACTCACCACCCAGCAAAAAAACTCCTGTTAAATTTTTATGTCTGCTTTGCACATTTTTCCATGCGCGGCTAGGTCACGTGTGTGCTCTCATACAAAAAGTTGAGGGGTTTCTGGGTTGTCATCTGCTGTGTTCTGAATTGTGGTAGGAGCTTGAAAAGTTGGCCCAAGTGCTTTCTGGATATTGGTTGGTTATGGGCACATCTGACTCTTGGAGGTAGTTTTGGGAGTTAGGGACAGGGCTGACACAGCCCCCACTCAACCCCTACCCTCCAGCAGTGGTCCAAAGGTCCAGGAAGCTCTTCCTTGTCTTAATTGTTACCCTCAGCACATTCTTCCCGACTAGGCAGCTGACCCCTCCTGACACTAGGTGCTTGTGATGTTATCTCCGCCAGTTCTTGTCCCTTTAAAATCGCCTCTGCGTTTCCCTTTCCAGCCTTCTGTAGCAGACGCCGGCGTGCAGAATGATCTGGAAAGTGGCCGTGCTTCTCAGCCTGGCGCTGGGTGCTAGAGCTGTTCCCGTTGGCGTGGATGACCCTGAGGATGGCGGCAAGCACTGGGTGGTGATCGTGGCGGGCTCCAACGGCTGGTATAATTACCGGCACCAGGTAGGAAACCAAAGCTTCTTACCACCTCCGCCTTTGTGGCCATCTTGGAAGACGGTTTTGCCTTAGTCTAATGCGGGATTTCCTCCCTCTCCCACAATAGTGGCCTTCGGAACTGGGCATTATTTTCTTTTCGGGTCTGTAGTATATCTGAAGTGGCATCGCTTGCCTGCCCGTCAAAACTCGAAAATCTCAAAATGCATTCAGACGTCATCACGTGTCCTGGGTGTAAGATTTACCAGGTGAGAGCCCTTGGGCTGACACCTTCATTTTACAGAAAGGACCCTAAGAGCTTAACTGGGGCCGTAGGGCAAGAGGCCAGCGGGGCTGAAGCTCTGGGGAGCACACCCCTGGCCCCTCAGCCCTCTATGCCTCTGTCTCTATTCCACCTCACCTTTCCTGCTGTTTCCTGCAAGTCAGCTGTGGAGGTGAGAGAGACTAGCACAGTTAACTGCAGAGCCTCCTGCTGGGAGGAAGGGTGGCCTTGGGGAAGCAAGCTTGGCAGTCCTGGAGAGGGGGAAACAGTTACCCGCTGGATCCAGAGATCTGTGGACCTAAAAGGAATGAAGACGTGTCTGTGTAAAATCTTGTGCTGCTATCAGCCTCCCTCACGTTACCCAGCATGGGGAGGGGAACGAGATCTGGCCACAGAAGGGATGGAGTAGTCCGTGTGCTTCAATATGGATGAACCGGCAACACATGCTAAGGAAAAGAAGCCGGTCACAAAGACCGAACATTTAATGATTCCATTACATGGCATTAGAAAAATCCAACCGGGACAACAAGGCCTAGACAGTGGAGAGGCTGAGGCTGGGGCATTGGCTGCTCATGGAATTAGATACTGTTGCTGGTAGTGGGAATGTCCTGGAATTAGAAAGTGGTCATGGCTTCGCAGTGCACTGTATTTAAAAGGCTGACTTCTATGTGAATGATAACACTCTGTCATTTAAAAAAGTTGATTTAGCAGGGTGTCCTTTAGGCCCAGTGCTTGGAAGAGACACAGGCAGATCTCTGAGTCTGAAGCCAGCCTGGTCTGTAGAACAGACCTAGTTAAAAAGCTGATTTTTTTTTTTTTTTTTCATGCAAGGTGCATAGATTGTCAGGGGATTGCAGGCTCTCCCCAGAGCATTCTGAGATCCTTTAATCCTCACAGTGGGGCTGTGAGCTGGACCTGTTCTTAATTCCTCTTTATCTACCAGCACTTGGATGGACAGTGGCCTGGGGAACTTTGCCCAGTGTGGTGCAAGGAGGGGGTGGGGTAGGATCCAGAGCTGGCCAGCTGGCTTGAGAGCTACTCAGTCCAGTAAGAGCTACATGAGTCATGGAAATTTTTCTTGCAGCCACATTTGAAAAAGCCTAAAATATGTAGCAGGGGCTGAGGAGACAGTCTGTTCAGTAAGATACAAGCTATGTAAGCAGTAGAAGCCGAGTTCAACCCCTAGGACCCACTTAAGAAACACACACACACACACACATACACATACACATACACATACACACACACACACACACACAAAACACTAAGGAATACTGGTGTATGTTTGTAATCCCAGCTCTATCTAAGGAGGTGGAAATAGGTGGGTCCCTGGGACTCACTAGCCAGCCCCCATAGTCTACGTGACAAACTCCAGGCCAATTAGAGACCATGTCTCAAAAACATGGTGTTGGGGGCAAGCTGGGGAGGTAGCCCAGTGGTTAATAGCACTTGCTAGTCTTCCAGAAGACCTGGGTTTGGGTCTCAGCTTTCACAGCAAGCGACTCACAGCTTCCTGTAATTCCGGCTCCAGGAGATCTGGTGCCCTCTTCTGGACTCCTTGGACAACTGCACATCCAGACAAACACACACTGTTCTTTCGTTGTGAGGAGAGGCCATCATGGAAACTTATAAAAGAAAGCACTTAATTGGTGGCTTGGGTATAGTTTCAGAGCTTGAGCTCATTAGCATGGTCTATAAAGCAAGTCTAGAATAGCCAAGGCTACACAGAGAAACCCTGTCTTGAAACACCAAAACAAATAAACAAATAAATAATTGCGCATAGTTTCAGAGGGTAAGCTCATTATCATGGCAGGAAGCATGATCTAGATGCAGCAGGCAGTGAGACACAGGGCTGGGTGTGAGCTTTTGAAACCCCAGAGCCCACCCCCCAGTGACACACCTCCTCCAATAAGGCCATACCTCCTAATCCTTCCAAGCAGTTCATCAACGGGGGACCAAGATGCAAATATATGAGCCTAATAGGGGCCATTTTCATGCAGACCACCATAGCACCTGAGCAGCAACACCCCAGATTGTTCTTTGGCCTCTACACACACACACACACACACACACACACACACACCCTTATACACAAATTCGTAAACACAGAAAATATATATAGGAAAGTAATTTTGACATCTTATTTAAACCAGATGTCCAAATGAATATCAATTCATTACGTAATTGGTATTGAAATTACTGTTGAGATAGCCTGCGTTCTTTAAGAAAGTTTTTGTTACATTTATTTATGTGTGTGCGAATGTGTTTATATGTGTGGGCACAAGCACCTTGCAGCACGTGTATGGAAAACAACTTGCAAGTGTTGACTCTCTCTAATATGTGGGTCCCGGGGACCAAACTCAGGTTGTCAGACTTGGCAGCAAGCACCCTTTTCAGTAGCACCATCTCGATGGCCCTTGTGTCCTCTTCTGATGCAAACTCATTGAAGTCCAGAGTATATGTGAGTCCTGGAGTGTCTCAGTTTAGATGGTACAGGTGCTTGGCTCCTCAACAGGAAGGGGATGGCTTTTGGGAGGCTGGCACAAGGACACTGTGCAGAGGGACACACTCTGTGTGTCAGAGCGCTTGCCTTCATGTCATCAAGGGTTGGCAGAGGTGACGTTCTTACTCATCATGAATGGCCTCAGTGTGCTGACCAGAGAGGCTCGATTAAAAGTTGTTATCAGGCCTGATTCCTTTTCCTCTGGGTGAAAAAAATGAGTTAAGCACAGACCACAGATAGCAAGCATGCTGGTTTGCTGGCCATGTGGGTTTTACATACCAATTTAGGAAAATATACCGGTTAAACATTACCTTAGCTAACAAGAGCCTTTTTTTTTTTGGTTGTTGTAGCCTTGGTTGGTGTCTAACTCATGGTGGCACTATTGCTTTGTTGACTTTTTTTTTTCAAGACAAGGTCTCCTACTGTTGGGCAGGCTGGCTGGCCTTGCTCTCAAAGCTATCCTCCTGTTTCAGCCTCCTGAGTGCCGGATTACAGTTAGGAGCCACCATGCCCAGCGGCTCCCAGAAACCTTTTTTTTTAAGAGAAGGCTGCTGGTTGTCCTGGTAAAATAAGAAATATTGAGAGCGTGGGAAAGAAAGCAAGGGTCAAGAAGTAGCTGCAGCCACGGGTCTGTCTCCACACAGGACCGGATGGTGGAACTGCGGCTGCACGGGGGCCTGTGTTCCTAGTGGACCTCCTGCGCTGGAGGATTAGTCATTCGAGGACTCTCCCTTCACCCTGTGCAGGTGTTTTATTTGTTTGTTTGTTTTCCAAGACAGGGTTTCTCTGTGTAGCCTTGGCTAACTTGGAACTTATTCTGTAGACGAGGCTGGCCTCGAACTCAGAGATCCACCTGCCACTGCTTCCTGAACACTGGGATTAAAGGTGTACGCCGCCACCACCACCTGGCTCCTGTGCAGGTTTTAAATGGATGTATTTATAGAGGCTCGAGGTTCCCCTGGATTGACAGATCAGTTTGACCTGGAAACTCCCAGCAATCCTCAGGCATCTCCTCGGTGTTTCAAATGGCAAGTGTGGAGAGTCCTACGTCTGACCATTTGGCTCAAACCCATGTTTTCCAGTGTTGAGGTCCTGTCTCCAGATAAGCTGCTGGATACTGCAGCTCTAGATGTCTCTGTAGAGAGAAAAAGGGGCCATCTGGGCTAGTTACCTGCCTGCTCTCTCTCAAGTGTGACCTTTTCTTAGGAGTAAGTGGTGGCCTTTGTCCTGTCTGGTTACGTCACATGCTTATGTTAACATGAGTTCCTGGAGAAGGAAAAAGAATTTCTAGTTCTGACTCAGAGGTTATGCAAGAACAGCACATAGTCCGAAAAGACTGGAATGGGGAAGATGGGGAGAGCCTGAGTGAGTGCACAGTGAGCTGGAGTATAAGGACAAGTTCACAGAGCCTCATTTTCTCTGTTTTGACAGAACCAGGCAGCTGAAATTTGATGGAAGCTGTTGTGGTGTGCACGCCCTCAATCCCAGTGCTCAGGAGGCAGAGGCAGGTGGATCTCTGAGTCTGAAGCTAGTCTAGACTCCGTAGTGATTTCCAGGTGGGGTTACATAGTAAGACTCTGTAATAAACAGATTCTTTTGTTTGGATACAGGGTCTTTCTCTATAGCCGTGGCTGACCTGGGACTCATTATGTAAACCAGGCTGATCTCAAACTCATAGAGATCCGATTACCTCTACCTTCCGGTGCTGGGATTAAAGGTGTGTGCCACCATGCCAGACTAATAAAAAAAATTTTTTTTTTGGATAGAGAAATCAGTCTAATGGGGGTGAGGCACCACGACCAGTGAACTCCTGCTTAGCCCCTCCTCCTCACACTCAGTGAAACCCCCCCCCCCCCGGTCTGCCTCAAGGTCCATCAGCTCACTCGCTTCCAGGAAGGGCCAGGCAGTAAATATTTACACATTTGGAGTCCAGAGAGTCAAAATGGGAACTGGTGGGGACTGCATCCAGGCTGCAGGGAGTTAGGAAGGCGGAAGAACGGGGCGTGGAAGCAGCAGGCAATGCCAGGCGCCTAGTCTGTCCTTTAGACCAAATCTTCATCTAGGTTAATGTCGTAGAAGTTAGTCCTCACTGGGACAAAGGTCAGCTGTGTGGTCTTAGAGCAAAACATCCTCTGAAGAGGGTGTGCGGGGAGAGGGCTGGCTGGGGATGTTGGGCCCAGCAGTGGTGAAGATGGGAGAGTTTGGGGTAGCCAGACGATCTGTAGGGTCCTAGGTCTTGCCCAGACCCCAGGCGTGATTGTGGTTCCATACTTACCTGCTGTGTAGTGGGAACCAGTGACATCAGCTCACTTTAGACCTCAGCCTCTTCTTTGGGCTTGGGCCAGGCCCTGCAGAACCTCACTCAGCTCAGTACCCTCCTCCTCTGCACTTGGATACAGGCAGCTTGGGAAGCAGGATGTGGGTCAGGAGGGGAGGAACTGCCTGCACCCGGGAGGCAGGCATACCCAGTTAGAAAGCCTTTCCCCGGCTCTAAATACAACACATGGGCCATATTTAGCCTTCGCTCCAAGCCCCAAGTTTAGTGTGCGTCCAGCTGCTAGTAACGGCTGATGCCTACTGTCCATGTGCAAATGTGGGGAGAGGTGCCAGTATCACAGGATTCCTCACGCGATTCCTCAGTGAGCCTGGCACCACAGCTCCCGGTGCCAGCTTTGAAATGAGCTGAGTCACAGCAGTCTCGGCTCACTGCAGAGGCTGTGCCCTCTGATGAGGTCACGCTCAACCCAACGTCGCCTCCTGTGGCCTGTCTGCGGGGAAGACACCAGTTGGGCTGTTAGCACATTATCTGAGTTCATAGAGCCCCACTTTATCTCATATTAACTCAGTGCAGAACCCTTTGAACTTACTGACACATATGGAGGTAGCCAAGTACTTCTGACGACCCTGCACATAGCCCCAACTCTGCTTGGAAACCCTTGATTATAGAGGCACGGACATGGGCAGGAGACCTGGGTTTAAACCCTGATGAAATGAGCACCACCCTGTCATGGTGGTCCTGAGGGCCGGGCCCCGGGCAGCTCTGGAGTGCACCAACCCAGGACACATCATCCCTGTTCCTCTTAAAGCTCCTACCTCAACCAAGGCATTAGTTCCGTGCCATCTCATCCATTTCTGGCTCATGACTCTGGGTCATTTGAGTAATTGACAGAGTTGTGCAAACCTTACCATGAACCAGCACCAGAATAGTAGCATCACTCCGGGTACCCTATGTGGTCCCCGAGAATAGCTTTTAAGCAACCACTAATCTCCATTCTGTTTCATGCATAAATTGCCCCTTCTGAACCTTCATCAAAGGCAGGGTCTCATGTAGCCCAGGCTGGCCTGAACCTGAAAATGACCTTCAAATTTCTGATCCTCCTGTCTCCACCTCCCTAATGCTGGGGTTACGGCAGGCATCAACACAATCAATTTTTATGCAATGCTAGGGATCAAACCCAGCGCCTCATGCATGCTAGGCAAGCACTCTCCCAGTTGAGCTATACCCCTGGTCCCTGGTTGGACTTCTCTGTTCAGGAGTCCACAGTGTGGTCTTTGGCTTCTGTCTTCCCTTTGGTGATGTCATGGAGCGCAGTCCTCATTGCAGCAGGTGCCCTGCAGCATTCCATTGTGTTGACAGTTTGCTTGTCCCTTTGGCTCATGGGCATTGGGCTTGCTTCTCATTTTTTTGCCCCCATGAACCGTGTTGCTGAGCTCATGTGTGTATGTGCTGGTCTGTGGGTGGGTGAATGTTGTGTCCTTCCTGGGTGGACACCTAGGGTCACTAGAGGCATTGTTAAATATCTGCAGAGGTTTTCTGTAGTGGTGTGTGTGAAGGCTCCTGTTCCTCACCCGCTACTTGTTCTTGCCTGTCTGCCTGGGACGTGACAACTTGTATTTCTCCAGTGACTAATGCTGCTGAGCATCTTTCTTTTGGACTTAAAGCCGTTGTCTTATTAGGTAAGGTGCTTTTTCCAGCTTTTACACACTTTTTTGAGGGCCAAGCATTCTTTACATTTGGATGTGAACCTTAGCCAGCGTAGGCTTTCCCAGTCTTTTCTGCTTTCTCAGGTCCTCTCCCTTGTCATGTTCAACACTTTATCACTGCAGGACCCTTTTTGCTTTCTTTATGACATGTTTTTATTTTTCAGTGCTGAGCATGGTACCTAGGGCTGCGTGTGTGCTAGGCAAGTGTTCTACCCCTTCAGTAGCATTTCATTAAAAGGTTTATTTCTGTTTTTAAATTTTGTGTGTGTGTGTGTGTGTGTGTGTGTCTATGTGTCAGTATGTGCATGTGAGTACAGGTTTCCACAGAAGCCAGAGGCTCCCCTGGAGCCTTAGAAAGTTGTAAACCGCCCAACACGGGTGCTGGGACTTGAACTCAGGTCCTCTGCAAGAACAGTGCGTGCTCTTCACTACTGAGCCACCTCTCCAGCCCTTCCTTCAGCGGTGTTTTTGAAGCACTAAGTTTTAAACTTTGTGAGCTCTAATTTATCCATTCTTTTCTTTGTGGACCTTGTTTTTGGTGTCATACCTGTGACATCATCACTCAACATAGTCCTAAACATAGTCTCTTGTGTTACTTTCTCCACGTTTTCTTCTAGCTGTGATGCATCCTGGGCGACCTTTGCTGCGGCGTGAGACACTGTTCCGCCTTTTGCCCGTGGCTGTCTCATCTGAATCCACACCATTGGTGGGGATTCTCCCTTAGTGTGGCTTGGAAGCCAGCGTGTGTTTAGACCTGATGGGAGTAGGATGTGTGTGACCAGGCTGGCTTGGAACTCACAAAAATCCTCCTGCCTCTGCATCCCAAGCACTGGGATTAAAGGCATGCGCCACTGCGCCCAGCTGCTAACTGTTTTTCAATGATGGTTTTTACAGTTTTAAATCTGATTCATGAACATGAGATGTCTGTCTTGCTATGTCACAGGTGAATATGTCTGTCTTATTGAATAGCATTAATTCACAAGGTGCCAGTGCTACAGGTTGTCAGATAATCCTGCCTACCTTGGTAATCTGGCCAAGATGAACACTAGTTCTTTTGTTCCAATCTTGATTACTGATTTTAACTTTTTCCCTTCCTTCCTTCTTTTTTGTCCTGGAATTCTGTAGGCTGGCCACCTGCTTCTGCCTGCCAAGTGCTGGGTTTAAAGACATGCACTGCCACCCCCACCCAGCTTGATTTTAACCCATATTTTGCAAATTACAGAGCATACAGTGAATCTCAGTTGGTAGAAGGTTAGGAATTATGTTTCCCCCTTCGACCTCAATTGGTATTCTGCACAGAGGGCATCATCTGAAACAAGGAATGATTGCTCGAAGAATGGCAACAGGGATGGTTTCTGTTCCTTCTGATTTCTTTCTTTTGTTTCAGGTTGTGATAATAGTCATGTTTTTAAAGAAAGGATTTCATGTTACCTAGGTTGGTTTCAAACTCACTATTTAGCTGAGAATGACCTTGATTAAAAAAAAAATCTTCCTTTTTTTAATTTTATTTTTATTTTATGTACATTGGTGTTTGACTGGGTGTTTGTCTGTGTGAGGAGTTACAGACAGTTGTGAGCTGCCATGTGGGTGCTGGGAATTGAACCCAAGTCTTCTGGAAGAACAGCCAGTGCTGTTAATGGCTGAGTCATCTCTTGAGCCCCCGACCTTGAACTTCTTGCTTGCCTTCACTCCCCAAATTACAAATGCAAGTATGCCCTGACACACTCAGTTTGTGTGGTAGTGTACTTGAACTCAGAGCTTCTAGCATGTTAGGCAAGCACTCCTCCAATTGAGCTATATTTCTAACTATTATTATTATTTCTAACTATTATTATCATTATCATCACCATATAATCAGCGTGTTTCTCATTCCAATTCCTGAATTGTGCTTTATTTTATTTTTTTCAGATAGTCTCAGGAGCCCAGCCACTTAAACTTGCTGTGTAGTTTAGGCTGGCCTTGAACTCCTGTTCCTCCTGCTCATACTCCCAAAGAGCAGGGGTGTAACACAAGCTTGGCTCCTGGGTTGGACTTTGGGACTTCAGCTGCCTGAACAGTTGGTGAATCAGAAGCTGGGAACCTGTTGCTTCCTTCTCTGGGGCATTCTGTTTTTAAGGAAAAACAAAAATTAATGTTTTAGAAAATAATCAGTTACTGTGACCAGTAAGTCACTGTGAGTCTTCTGTGAGACAGAACATACCCCAGATGGGCTTCCATCCCTGTGATATCTGAAAGCTGATGGAAACACTTCTTCCAGGCAGATGCGTGCCACGCCTACCAGATCATTCACCGAAATGGGATTCCAGACGAGCAGATCATAGTGATGATGTATGATGACATTGCCAACTCGGACGAGTAAGTGGGTGGTGCTTGGAACTTGGCTGTGACACTCAGGCTTATGGGGTTTCTTCGGTCAGTGCCCCAGTTTGGGAGCAGAAGCGACCCTGGGTGAAAGGCCACAGGGATGTCATTTTTTGAGCTCCCAGCATGTCGTAGGGTGCTCTAGGGTGGCAGGAAACAGGAGATGAGCAGGAGGGGTTGCTCCGAGGGGGTAGAGCAGGACCCTCGAGTGATGGAGAGCAACACCGATGGAGAGCAACACCCTGGGGTTGGAGCCTCTCTGTAACCTGTGAGGGGTGGAGCCTGTTCTAGGAGGTTCTAGTCTGTGCAGGACCGCCTTCCACGCCTCTTTTTGCCTTGTGTCTAATGTTTCACATGGTTCTCTTGCACTTTCCCAAGTTCTCTGGGAACTGGGAAAAGGCAGGTGTGGCTTTAAGCCAAGCAGTTCCTGGCTCCCCAGTTCCCAGGTGCCCTTCCAAGAGGGACCCTGCGCCATAGTGAGATGGCACCTGGGCTCCAGCAGACTCTCCCCACTTCCCCCGATAGTGACTCCCGAGCCTTAGGTGTTCAGTTTTGCTTTGTGTTACGTTGTGTTTTGAGAGCAGTGTTGTTTGCGTGATCTTGCCCCAAGATTCTCTGGTTTCTAGCAGGTGCACTTTAGTTCCTCTCCTGGGTTTTAAAATCTCTGTTCCTCTCTGTTCCCATCAGGGGTGCTTGGGTTCAGGTCCCTGGGATCCCCAGCCACCCAAACTACATGCATTGGTGCCTGTCTGAGCCTCAGGGAATGCTTTCAAGAGCAGAGCTGTCAGCTTCGTTCACATAGTGACGAGTTTTGCAGGGAGACACATTTTGTGATGCAACTATGTCCTTTAATTTTCAGAAACCCTACCCCAGGTATTGTGATCAACCGGCCGAACGGCACAGACGTGTACAAGGGAGTCCTGAAGGATTACACTGGAGAGGTGAGGGCGTTCTTACCTGAAGCCATGGCTTTGGGGTTCAGTTCACTGATATTTCCCCATCCCTTTATTTGTGAGCCTGAGAAATGAGTGTGAGAGATTTTCTTGGAGAGATGGTGGGGCTGGATCCATGGCTCATATAATCTAGTCAAGTGTTGTCCCATACGGCCACATACTCAGCCTTAGAATTGTTTTGATTTTTGAGATATGGGGTCTCTTTCTTTCCCTCCCTCTCACCTCCCTTTTTTCTTCTATCTCTCTTTCTTTCCTCTTCCTCCTCCTCCTTTTTTTTTTTTTTTTTTTGTACAAACTAGCATTGAACTCCTGGATTCATGCAATTTTCCTGCTTCTTCTTCCCTGGTAAGGGGACCATAGGCAGGTGCTAATGTTTCTAGTTCAATTTGAGTTTTTGGAATTCAATAGAGAAAAGGAAAAAAAAAAAAAACAAACAGGGAAAGTGTTCAAAATAGGTTACAGTTTGTTGATGTTTAGACTCTAGTCTCTTTGCATGTGTCAAACATGATAGTGTATTTTTTCAGTGACAACCTGAATTTCATGAGATGTTAATTGAGTTAAAGATTATCTGCTTTTTCATGGAAATTTGTTTCCTCAGCTTGCACCCAGCACAAAGTATGTTAGGATTTTCCTGAAGATGGGTTTTTAAAAATTAAAATTTTAATACATTCCTCCCCAAATGGTTCATTTCTCCCCAGTTTATTCATACTGTGCAAATTGGCATTCATGGTCTTTATACTTTCTTTTTCTTAACTTCCTAAGGTTGTCTCAGGAGGCAAAGAAACACTGGCCCACAGCTTAACATTTCTTTCAGTTTTGCTTCATGTTATGAGCTCTTAAATTCAAATGGAAATTTAATATATAGGCAATGTAGTTGATTCCATCTGAAAAGATAATTTCTTTCTATAGGTCTATATAGGTCTATAGCAGGGGTTCTCAACCTGTGGGTTGCGACCCTATAGGGGTTGCATATTAGATATTCTGCATATCAGGCATTTACGTTATGATTCATAACAGTAGCAAAATTACATTTATTATGTTGCAATGGGATAATTTTATGGTTGGGGGTCACCATAACATGAGGAACTGTATTAAATGGTCACAGCATTAGGAAGGCTGAGATCTACTGGTCTGTAGGAATGTGTTTAAAACCTAGGTGGTCGAATTAGGGGTATTTTTTTCTTTTTTCTTTTTCTTTTTTGCATTGCTTTTAATGGCTGAGTGTCCTTGAGACTTGGGCTCTGAGGTACAAGCAGGAGGCAAACCAAGGCCCTAAACCTTCACTTCTGCTTCTTTGCCCTCTCTGAGGGAATATTTTCTTCCTGTGCTGGTAGAATCTTTTGACGGAAGGGTTCCCCACTTCATAGTGGTTGAGAAGGAATGAAAGTCCTGCTGAGTTGCCACCTACTCCAGACAAGATGGCCCTTTCATAGTTCCCAGGCCCCGGCCCCCAGGAATGTCATCCTGGCCTTGGGTTGGAGTGCTTGCTCTTGAGCTTGAAGCTGGGTGCCCTGGGTCTGTCACATTCCTGTGAGAGGTGCTTGGAGGGTAACAGCTGCATCTGGCTTTGACTCCCAATTCCTCGTAGGATGTGACTCCGGAGAATTTCCTCGCAGTGCTGAGAGGCGACGCAGAAGCTGTGAAGGGCAAAGGGTCTGGAAAAGTCCTGAGGAGGTAACCGCTGTTTCATGGATTCCACACTTAGAGCTGCAGCCTCAGACAGAATTTAAATGGTCATTGTACTTTCTCCCGTCTCTTTCGAGAAGTGAGGAGTGGGCTTTGTCCCGACCCAGGACAGGTCTCACAAAGCTGATGTCATGGTTTGTCTGTTTCTTTGCCACATACCCCTGTGATCCGGGCTTCCTCATGAGTTCTTTATTTTCCTTTATGACCATGCATGTACCATTAAGCTACAGCCCTAACCAGCCTGCCCCTCGTACCCCTCGCCACCTCTCTCTAGCTCAACCCCCATTATTTGTTTTTTGATACAGGGTGTCACTAATTTGTCCAGGCTGCTTTTGAACTTGCAGCCTCTGGAGTTAGCTTGAATTATAGTCAATATGCTTGTTGTTTAAAAGAAGGAAAATCCCAACCGTTCTATTTTACCAATAAAGACTCAAGAGCCAGATGCTGGGGTGAAAACCTGCTAGCTCAGAGAGGCAGAGACAGTAACCAGCTGATCTTCCTTATCTGCTCAGCTCTGGATGGAAAAAAACCCAAAAGGCTCAGTAGCTCAGCCCAGGAGCAAAAGGCCAAAAAAAACAAAAAAAAAAAAAAAAAAAAAAAAAACAAAAAAAAAAAACAAAAACAAAAAACCCCAAGGCCAAAGAGCCAGGGAGCTGAGGAGCTGAAGCCGAAGCTAAAGCCAGAGCTTGAGCTACTAGCCCTTTCTTCTTCTCCAGGCTGTCTTAAATATCCTCAACTCAAAGTCTCGCCTACCCTTTAATCCCCGTCAGCTGGTTTCTTGCTTCCTGACCTAGGGTTAACTTTATTACCTCCTGTGTACAGAATGTTCTTGGATTAAAGGTGGATGAACTACACCAAAATAATCACAGTTTACAATAAACAGAAGGTTCTTAAATTAAAGGTATGTGCTAGGGCTCAACCACACCAAAGAAACAGGGTTTTACAGTTCACAGTTTTAGGATTTACAATGGGATCAAATATTCTGCAACATACATTACCACTCCTGACCCTCACTAAGCTCATTATTTCTTTATGTCACACTTTTATGAGATGTTAGAGGTATATGGGCATTTTGAGACAGGTTATCACTCTGTAGTCCTGGCTGTCCTGGAATTCCCTGTATAGATCACACTGGCCTTGAACCCGGCACAGAGATCCACCTGCCTCTACCTCGAGAATGCTGGGACTGAAGGCATGTGCTACCAAGCTCTGCTTGAGCTTCTTAATTTTTTGATGAAGGCAGCTTTTCAGAGGCATGGACACGGAAACAGGAATGGGAAGCTGTGGTTTGTCTGGCTCACTCTCTTCTGTCCTCTCTTGGCAGTGGTCCCCGGGATCATGTGTTCGTTTACTTCACTGACCACGGAGCCACCGGAATTCTGGTGTTTCCTAGTGATGATGTGAGTTCTATCGATCATTTTGATTGTAGGTTTTTTGTTGTTGTTTGATACTGGAGGTTGAATGCAGGGCCTGTGTTCTTAACACTAAAAATTGATTTTTACATTTATTTATTTTTTTGTGCTTATGTGTGCATTCACATGTACCATGTCACACATGTGAAGGTCTGAGGACAATTTTTGGGAGTCAGTTCTTGCCTTCCTCCATCCTGCAGGTCCTGGGAATCGAACTTACATCGTCGGGCTTGGCAGCGAGCTCGTTTCCCTTATGAGCCATCTCCCTGCCCTCTTCTTAACCTTTTAGAGATAAAGGAAAAGGGTCGTTTTATTTATCTTTAAAATTTAAAGGAAAATAGAAAACAAGGCCTGTGTGTTGAGATGAAAGCTGTAGTGTGTGTTTTCTCATGTTCCGCTAGCGTTGGTGTCAACGCTGTCGTAGGCAGCTGGGGGACGAGGGTTGCAGCTGGAAGGCTGTAATTTCTAGCTGTTTCTCTCCATGCTGCAGTGTCAGTCAGGGCTGATCACATCACAGACACAGTCGCACAGCTTTGTCCTTGGTATCCTGAGACTCTCTTCAACTGTGTCTGTAATGTGATGAGAGTCTCAGGGTACCAACGGCAAAGCTGTGCGTGCAGAGGTGCTGCCTCTTGTCTTTCCGGGTGTGAGTGGGATGGCTGGGGTGACATTCTAGGTTTTGCTGCTCACCGTGGTTAGGTTTGCTGTGTAGGAAAAGGACTATTAAGATGTTGGTGGCTTTTCTTGGATGCTGCTCTGAATGTTCGCATTCTTACCTTTCAGCTTCATGTCAAGGACCTGAACAAGACTATTCAATACATGTATGAGCACAAAATGTACAAGAAGGTAACATGAGTTCCTGAGCGCCTTGGGGGATGGGAGGAGCCTGAGGAAGGTAGCAGGAGCAAAGGCCACGCTGGCACAGCTTGTCCTTGCCCTTGAGCTTTCTGGAGAGTGTTTTACCTGGTCAGCTTTGGCCAGTGATGCCCCAGGATTCTCTGTACCAATTAGAGAGCTTGTCACAACACAGTGTGGGTCTCACCCCCAGCTTGGACCCAGTGGGTGTTGGGAGGGGCCGTGAATTAGCTGTTGCAGAGACTGCACCAGGTTGGGACAGCTGGGGGGGAACACCCACCACCTTATTCTCTTTGCCCCTCTTTGTCGCTATTCCCACTTTGTCCCTCTTCTCTCTGTATCCTTGGTAGCAGCTATACAGGGCAGGACATATGTGATGTTGATGCAGAACGATGGCCGCTTTGCGGCATGGCTCTCTGGAGCCACTCACTGTCAGATGCAGAACCAGTCTCTTCAGCGCTGTATAGCTCCGATGTTCCGTGCGTTCTGCTAACTCAGGTCACTCTGTCCCGTTAGTGAAGAAATGTGATTATTTATTTTTCTGTCAGTCGGCTTCCATAGCCTTTGGCAATAGCCTCTGTACAGCGACAGTGATTGTCCCTACATCCAAAGTAAAGGATAGTGGGCGGGGTGGCCAGAGCGACAGCCCTGTTGCCAGCACTGACTGCTGGGAGCTCACCTGTCCTGGGTGCCTTTCAGATGGTGTTCTACATCGAAGCATGTGAGTCCGGCTCCATGATGAACCACCTGCCCAATGACATCAATGGTACGTGTTGAACAGGCAGAAGATGGTTGTCCCTGGAGACTGGCCATTTGAGGCCAAGTGTTCCCCTGTGCAGGGCCACGGAGGACTGCCTGATAGGCAGATGGAGGACATGCTTGTGGCCAGGGCTGCTTTTTTCTACTCTACAAGTATTCATAGGGAATAAAGACCCCATGGGTGGGGGGGTGGCTGGAGGCCTGGCTGAGTGGTCAGGAGCACTAGCTGCTCTTTAGCAGGCCTGGGTTTGGTTCCCAGCAGCTTTCTGGAGGCACATAACCTCTTGTAACTGCAGTTTCAGGGGAAGCTGATGCCTTCTCTTGGCCTCCTTAGGGTTCAGGGCATACCAACAAGCAAACATGCGTACTCACAAAATAAATTCTAACAACAACAAAAGCCTTCCAAAAGCAATGGTATTAGGAGGCTATATGCAAGCTTTACAGTGGCTGTCACCCACTCTCTCGATCTCAGGCAGGCGGGTGACTTGGTCCTTGGTTGTGGAGATGCTGACATTACAAGCTTAACTGCTGTGCACAGCCTCATACCTGCTCAAACAGCAAGCCCTCTGCTGCACCCAGCCCCCATCTCAGTGTTTTCTAAAGAAGTGTTAACCTTCTCCAGAAACCAGATTGGGCCCATAGCCTTCACAATTTAAAAATCTGTCAGCAGTCTTCCACTGATTTGTGTCCTGAGCACACAGGTTTTTGCTCGTAGTTGCAACAGTAGTCCCCTAGCTTGGGATCTTCCCTCCACATTTGAGAGGAGTTACTGTTCTGAATAGTGAGGGCCAGACTCTCCCTGGGTGGAGTACAGTAGCAGCCTGGATGTCATCGGGGGAAGAGGAGGGATCCCAGTTTCCAGTGTGGTCCAAGGCCAGGAGCAAAACGTGACTCAAAGATCCCTTTAATCCATCATAGTTTATGCAACTACCGCCGCCAACCCCAACGAGTCATCTTACGCCTGCTACTATGACGAGGAGAGAAATACCTACCTGGGTGACTGGTACAGCGTCAACTGGATGGAAGACTCTGACGTGGTGAGTCCCTCGGTCAGGGCTGGCCAGCCTGCTCCAGGGTGGCCCTCAGGCGCTGGCCCTCCAAGGACTTGTGTGGTTTTCTTCCCGTAGGAGGATCTGTCCAGAGAGACACTTCACAAGCAATACCACCTGGTCAAGTCTCACACCAACACCAGCCACGTCATGCAGTATGGGAACAAAGTGAGTGGGGGCCCTCCCTCTCCTGCTGTCTAGGCCTGGAGCCTCAGGCAGACCCACTCTGAACCTTGCGTTCTCCAAGGATTCTTTCTCACGTCCAGGTGTAGGCCATTAGATTTTCTCACTGGCTACAAGTTGGAGACTGTTCACACACAGCCCACTGCCAACACCATCCAGCAGGGACCAATGTGGTCAGATAATAGTTCTAAGGGGCTTGCTCCCTGCCTGCGAAAGCTTGAGCCTTTGGTGGGAAGACCCTGGGATATGCAGCTCAGCTGAAGAAACCGAAACTGGAACTCCCAGTATGCCCTTTCCAGGCCTGAGAGCTTGCCAGCTGACATCTGCTCTTGGGCGCAAGCTCTGGTGTTCTAGAGGAACATTCAGAGCAGAGAGCCAGCTCTTTGCAACACACCTTGCAGAGCGTGGCTTGCGGCTGCAAGCCTGTCAGCGGTGGGAGCCACCGCATACAAGAAGTGTACCCAGGTTGCTTTGGCATGGCTGGGCAGTTGAGGGCATGGTGAAAGCCAGACGGGAGACTCAGGAAATGCCCTGCCTTGCTGTCTGGCCCTGTCTTCAGCTTCCCATTTTCAGAACAGCTGCTCAGCTTGGTCCATTTTTTGTCCGTCTGTCTCTCTCTCTGTGTGTATGCATGTAAACGCTGTATCATTCTTATATTTGTGTTTTGATTTCAGTTTTAGACTTAGTTTTGCATTATTGTTGCTTGCAATAATGCAAGAACAAGAATGCTTAACTCATTTCTTTCCCTGGGGTTTGGTCTGTCTTGATCTGTGCAAGCAGACACTCTCTGGCATTGTATGTATTTTGTTAGCGCCTGAGACCCAGTGTCTGCCTGTCCTGTGGCCTTACCTGTGCCAATCTCAGGGGACCCAGACTTCAGGGCCAGCCTGGACAGATACTTGAAACCCCCTTGCTGCTGGTCATTGGGGACAGGCAGGGGAGCAAGGGTGATAATCACGGCCAGGGTTGCCAGACTTAAAAAACAAACTTTTCATAACTGCGGGTCTACAGTTGGCTTTGCATGTGAAAGAGCTCTTTGCTGCAAAGCACACTGGGTAGTTTTGAAGTTCTTTAGTGATGGATTTCAGCCACACACATGTGTTACCTTGCCTACTGCCTGAGTTGATTGTATGTTTTCAGGTGACTGGGGTCCTTCAGTCTTTTTTTTTTTTTTTTTCATGACAGGGTTTCTCTGTAACCTTGGCTGACCTGGCCTCTCTTTGTAGACCAGGCTAGCCTTGAACTCACAGAGATCCGCCTGCCTTCGCCTCCCAGAGTGCAGGGATTAGAGACCTGGGTCACTGCACCGGGCTTGGCCCTTTAGTTCTTAAAGCTAGGTGGGAACCATGACTCTCTCCCAGAGGATCTGAGCTAGCTGAGCTTGGCACGCCTGCTTTCCTCAGCAAACTGTCTCTGTATTCTCTCTCTCCCCCGCCTTCGCCAGTCTATCTCCACCATGAAAGTGATGCAGTTCCAGGGTATGAAGCACAGAGCCAGTTCCCCCATCTCTCTGCCTCCAGTCACACGCCTTGACCTCACCCCTAGCCCAGAGGTGCCACTGACCATCCTGAAAAGGAAGCTGCTGAGGACCAACGATCTGAAGCAATCCCAGAATCTCATCGGGCAGATCCAGCAGCTTCTGGATGTAAGTAGTGGCCAGAGGGACTCTTCTGAGAGGCCAGGCCAGTCTGGACTGAAGGGGTTTGTGTGTGTGTGTTTGTGTGTGTGTGTTTGTGTGTGTGTGTGTGGCCCCTGGTATACATACAACCAGCAATTCTAGAATTCTGGGTGCTTCCTCCCAAGATAGAGAAAAGAGTATGGTCGCTGTGCTCTTGGAAAGTTCAAAGGGCAGGTCAGTAGTTGCCTTCATTCTTCATTGATTTGTTCTTCATCATAACTTTGACATCAGCGGCAGGAAGGAAAGGCCGCTTGGAGGCCCAGCTCCCCAGAATCCTGCCGAGAAGCTCTGGCTTATGAGTGGTCCCTTTGAGACATTCTGTCTTACTGCTTTTTTACTTACTAGTCACTCATCAGGCTTCTTTCTTTCTTTTTTTAATTCAGTGTATAAAATCATTCTGTTGTCTCAGACAGGAGGTGGTGGCACACGCCTGCAATCCCAGCACTCAGGAGGCAGAGGCAGAGGCAGGTCTCTCAGTTCAGGGTCAGCCTGAGCTACAAATGGGGTCCAGGACAGCCAAGGCTACACAGAGAAACTGTGTCTCCTATCTCAAAAAAACAAAACAAAACAAAAAAACCACCATCACTACCACCAGCAAGAAAAAAAAAAAAATCCCATTCTGTTGTCTTATGGTCACAGCCTGAAGCTCCTCCAGAAACCGTTGTCTGTCTGTCTGTCCTTCACAACTGTTGCTGAGTTCAGTAGTTAATGGAATTGGTGGGAGGATCCTTCTGGTCACAGCTGTATACTCTTATCCATTGCCTCTCTGTTCCAATAAAGCCACTCTGTGTTAATGCTTGTCCCCAGTCAACATGGCATGCTGAGGGACACATGGAAAGATTAAAAAAAAAAAGTCTGTTTGACTTTCTTTTATTCCAAGTAGAGCTTCATGTATCCCAGGCTGGCGTTCTCCAGCTTGCTGCATAGTGGAGGATGGCCTTGAACTTCTGATCCTCCTTCCTCCACCTGAATGTTAGTGTCCCATCACCTCCAGTGTATATGGGTCTTAGGATTAGGAATTGAACCCAGGGTTTTGTGCATGCTAGGCAAGGACTCTACCAACTGAACCTCATTCCTAGCCCCATCTATGTGTTTTAAATGCTCCTCTTTAATTTTTTTTTGGGGGGGGAAGACTTGTTCCCCCTAGGATGTAACAGCTTGAGAAGCCAGGATATGTTTTAACTGGGTGTCAAACACAGTTGAAACAACTGTCCTTTTACTTTCTAATCTTTGACCTCTTACTACCCTTTATTGATTCTAGGGAGGTTTTCTCTATGGTGGGTTATTATGTCTGTTGATACTCTATTAAGAATTCAAATGATTCAGGCAATGTGTCCAATGCTTTTAATCCCATCTCCTAGGAGGTCGGGGCAGGGAAATCAGGAGTTAGAGGTCAAGCAGGTTTACCTGAGACCCGTCTCAAAACAAGTGACCATGGCTATCCTCTGGGTAGTCACAGAAAATGAAGCAGTTTCCCTGTGTTGCCTTAAGCAATGGTGTACAGCAGTTTCTCCGGTGTCTGCTGTACGTCTGAGAACTATTTCTAAGCCTATACACTTAATTAGATTCAAGAGTTTCCGGCTAACTGTTACATCGTTACATTTTTATGTAAAATAATTACTGAAAAAAAATCAAGATAAAAAACATTCAACTCATTCAGAAATAACCGAAGGAAACTCATTTTGTGCCCTTGTATATTTTCTGAAAAATAACTCTTTTCAAAAACGAAAGTTTTTTTTTTTTTTTGCACAGAGTAGCATCGCATTGCTTCACATTTACAAACTCCTCTTTGTCCAGCGTGAGAGGAGACAGCGGGATGTAGTGCTGATGTTTATGCTGTGGCCCTGGGGGTTTGGCTGAAGCATGGGGAAGCCATTACAGGGCCCACAGAGCTCTAGGAGCTCTGTATTTGGGACCACACATGGGTCCAGCACACTGGGAGGCGAGTCTGAAGAAGTCAGCCGTGAAGGAGGTAAACACGGTCAGAGACTTGATGGGTTCAAGTTCAACAGTATCTTTTATTTTATTTTTTCGAGGCAGGGTTCCTCTGTGTAGCTTTGGCTGACCTGGACTCACTTTGTAGACCAGGCTGGCCTCAAACTCAGAGATCCACCTGCCTCTGCCTCTCTGCGTGCTGCACCACCGCTCCTGGCTTCAACAGTGTCTTCTTTACATTGCTGTTCTATCATCTGGGAGGAGCAGGGGGCCTCTGTGCTTTCTGGGCAAACAGCCGTGGTTTCCTGAGTGGGTGAAGATGCCTGGGAGCACCCAGCATCAAATGAGGTGGAGAGCAGTGTGCTTCGGAGGCAGGTTTCAGGCAGGCACTTGCTGCCTGCCCTCCAGGTGTCAGGTGTCAGTTCTTCCGTTGGGGTAGGAGATCAAGAAGGCCAGGCCTTCCCAGTGTCACAGAAACCACACTTTCCATTTCTCTTGATGCATTCATTGGCCTGCTTTTAGTCCACTGTGGGTTGAAGCCTGGGTCAGGATAGTTCTTTGAATACGCTTCTTACTGCAGGGCCTAGAGAGAGTTCATTAAGCCAGAAAACAGTTCATTAAGCTTTGAAAACACCTGTCTTTCTTCCTAGGCCAGGCACGTCATTGAGAAGTCTGTGCACAAGATCGTCTCCTTGCTGGCGGGATTTGGGGATGCTGCTGAGAGACTCCTGTCGGAAAGAGCCGTGCTCACAGCACATGACTGCTACCAGGAGGCTGTGACCCACTTCCGCACACACTGCTTTAACTGGCACTCCGCCACGGTGAGTCCAGCCAGGGTCCTCAGGCCTCCCTGCTTTTGAGATCCTAATGCTAGACTCAGGTGCCTTGGCTTGTAGAAGGTTCTGGGCCTCGGGAAGCTGGACGCCTGAGTTCACAGTTCTGTGTGTGTCTACCAGTCCTCGGCGACAACTCCCATTACTGTTGGCTGTGAAGGGTGTTTGCTTCTCTTGATGATGTGTCCCCACCCCTCACATGACCTCACATGACACCTGACCCCACCTGACCCTCACATCTGCCAGACATTGGTTTCTTCCTCCTGATGTCTTGTGACCATTCCCCAAGAGTTATTGTTGGTCCATGGGGAGAAGGAAGACGGATGTTTCAGCTAACTGTAGAGTGTGGGTCAGCTAGGTCCTGTGATTACAGTGGGATGCTTGGATCCTGCCGGGGAAAGGTAGGCAAATTGTGGCCTGTGGACTTAGCCCTGGCAGAGCCTGCCTTGGCATCTTTGCCCTCCATTTTGGCATTTGTAGGCCGTTCTCTCCTCAGCTGGGTTCCCAGAATCAGCTGAAGGCACACAGCACTTCAGCAGCCCCAGCAGCCCCTGGGGTTGTGCGCAGCCCTTACGTATGGTATGTGCGTCTCCCCTGGGAGAGTATATAAATACCTGTTGACTGCCAAAAGATGGAAGATCCTCAACATGGCCTAACCAGACCTAGAAGCCCTGGCTGAAATGGCTTTGTCTCTGTGAATGCAGAAGTGAGGGGAGCTGAATGCAAGGAGTGGTGCTCACGTGTGGTTCTTTGTTCTCTTGCAGTATGAGTATGCCTTGAGGCATTTGTATGTGCTGGCAAACCTCTGTGAGAAGCCATATCCGATTGACAGGTAAAGCAGCACTTGGCCCGGGGGAGGTGGGCATTGTTCTGAATGGGTGCATACCACTGGGAGACGCAGCTCTACGGCCCAGTTTTGTTTTGGGGCCACTCACTTGTCAGTGGAATTGGAGGGGCTGGTTTCCCCGTGGTGAAGGTTGGGGACATTGTCCTGTGTGAGTCCTGCCCAGGATTGGATTGTGTCTTGCTTTCTTCAGGGTTGACTTGACTCATCAGTTTCACTTTCCTGTCCCTTACAGGATAACGATGGCCATGGACAAGGTGTGCCTTAGTCACTACTGAACAGCTGCCTTCCCAACTCTTCTTGAAGAGTGAACACAGTTCATTGGAATGTGTACCAACCTGGGACTGAAAGGGTGGAGCCACAGGCAGCCACCACGGGAAGGCTGCCAGCCCAGCCCTGGGCTTTCTTTCTGAAGATACTTGTCTACTAAGAAGCAGGTTTGGGTGGTCAATGCTCTCTGGAGAAAGGACTTTTGCTTCTTAGAAGTTTTTTGTGTTGTGTTTTTTTTTTTTTTTTTTTTTTTTTTTTTTTTTTTTTTTTGTCCATTAGCTTTCAAGAGCAAATTCACTGAGGCGTCTGTCGCCAGTGAAGGAATCTTCTGAGATTTGAAGCTGAAACCTCTTTCCGTCTTCACGGTGATTTTACTGAAGGGGGGCTGAAAGCCCTTAAAGGAGAATTATTTTTAGAAAATATAATTTTTGATTGCTTTTGTATTTTATTCTGTGATAATGGATGTCTTAAAAAAATAAGTGAAGCAAGACATTTGTTTCTGGCATCTGGCTTGATGGTTTGCGTTCCACCCTCGTGGTAGCCCCGTACCCCTCCCATCTCTCTGTTCTCCACTGCTCCGGACTCTGTGACGCAGCTCCCACCCCCTCGCTGTTTCTCTTGCCCTGGATTGCCTCACGGTTCTGTCCTTCCTCCCCTTCAGTCTCAGGAGCCTTTTCTTCCTGACGTTTGCTTCCGCCTCTCCATCCTCTTACCTGCTGTGGTCTGAATGTGAAATGTCGCCTGTGGGCTTGGGTGCTGAGTGTTTGGTCCCTAGCTGGCAGCACTGTTCTGGGAAGTTCTGGAAAAGCCAGGATGTGGGGCCTAGAGGGAGAAGGCCCTGGAGACGTACTTGGGAGGAAGTATGCTCCATCCCTGGGTTCTCCCTTTTGCTTGGCTTCTTGCCCACTGAGAGGTGCAGAACCTCCTCCGCCATATACTGCTCTCCTGCCACCACGATATTCTGCCCAAGCAGCTGTGCACGGAGCCCTCAGACTTGGAAGTGAAACAGCCCGACTAACCCAGAAACACCTCGAAAAGCAGCTGTTCCCCCGATCCTCTGTGGGCCGGGCATCACATGGTCAGGTGCAAGGCAGGAAGGGGAACCCGGCCCTGGAAAAGTGAACTGAGGGCACCCCTCCTGTTTCTCTGGCACAGTACACTCAAGATCTAGGGGTGGGTTTGTGAGACGTGAAATCAGCGCTGCTCTATCCACGCAGGGTATCCTGTATAACAGGGTTGGCAATCCTGTACAGCAGGGTTGGAAGGAAAAGGAATGAAGTCTCTGGATAGGGTACAGCACCATTAGGCCAGTTGAAGCCAGCTGCTAAAACCACGTATTATATAGCATTGTGTGAAATGTACAGAATAGGCAAATCCACACAGACACTTACCGATGCTAGGGACTAAGGAGGAAATACATGCGAGGGACCGAGGCTGGGTTTAAGTCTGCCGCCTCAGCCCCCTCCTTTACAGGATCTAACATGTTGCAAAGCAGGTCTGGACCTGAGGAATCCTGCTGCGTCAGCCCCTCAAATAGCCAGGACGGGTGTGCTCCTTCATGCCTGGTTCAGTTTCCTTCCAGGGATGACGAAGGGTTTGGAAAATGACTGCTGTGACGGGTCAGTGCAGGCACAGGGAAGCCCCAGACGGTGTGCATTTCAGTTGTGTGGGTCTAGTGAGGAGCAGGGTGGCTTCTGGAGATTGGTTTGAGAAACACAGATGACCCATACAACTTAGAAATACCAAAAAAATTAAAATATGCCACAATGTATAAAATGCAGGTAAGTCTATTTTATCACGACCATAAGTTATATACAGACATATAGTGAAGAGGTAAAATTGACACAGACACAGATGGACCACATCTGGTGCCATCAACAATAAAGAGACATGTAAACAAAGTCAGATAGTGTTGCATCCTGTATCCTGCCTGCAAAATATGTCTTGCTTCCAGCTCAAATGCAGGAGTAACACTCTGGGACTCAGGACAAGGACCTTGGGTCAAGGACGTGGAGCTTATGTGTCTCTTCAGTCAATTTCATATCCTAGTGAAGAGTGATTTCTTGCACATTTCACCCCTTTCACCAAACAGAACACACAAAACATGAAAACCTAGGCTGTGGGTCTGGAGAGGTGGCTCAGTGGTTAAGAGCTCTGGCCGTTCTAGGGGACCCAGGTTCAATTTCCCAGCACCCACATGGGTGTTTGTAACTCACAACTGTTTGTAACTAGTTCCAGGGCAACCAGTGCTCTTGTCTGGTCTCCATAGGCACACCTGTGGTGCACAGACCTGTATCCAGGCAAAACAGTCAGACGTGTAAAATAACAACCCCCTAAACCTGTGCTATAGACGAGTATGTCGGTGGTAAGACCAACAGTGGGCTGTTACTAGTTACAGTTCGAGGGTGTCAAGTGTTAGGTACAGTGGGGCTGGAGCGAGGGCTCCGTGGTTGAGAGCTCCAACTGCCCTTGGCAGAGTACCTGGGTGGTTTCTAACAGCTATGCTAGCCCACAAGCACCCGTAGCTCTGGCTCCAGAGGCCTCTGATGCCCTCTTCTGGCCTGCAGACGCACGTGCACACGCCTGTACATACCTAGAGATACACACGCACATAAGTAAAAGTGAGATGCGATATGAAAGTCTATTATTTGCTTTAACCAGGAGAATCAAGTTGCGTGTGAGGTAAGTCTCAAGTTGTAAAAGCCAGGCCTGGGTAGTATGTATCCTGGCCACTGAGGAAGCTGAGACAGGAGGATTGCTGAGTCTAGGAGCTCAAAGAGCAGCAGGGCAAGGCCATGTCTCAAAGCTGTGAAAAAACAAAACAGACCCAGAAAGTCAGAGCTAGGTGGGTCTATGACTTTAAGGCGGGCCGGAAGAAAGCAAAAGTGAAAAGCATCATCAGGGCTGAGGCTGTAGCTCACTCTGTCATGCAGCCAGCCCTAGGTCCCCTGACCACATAAACTGGCATGGCAGAGCACACCTCTGAATCTTGAGGCCCCTTTCACAGGGGTAGCCCAAGACCATTGGAAAACATGCATTTTACATTATGATTCATAGCAGCAGCAAAACTGCAGTTGCAAAGTAGCAACGGAAATAATTTTGTGGTTGGGGATCACCATAAAACCGTTTTCAGTGGTCGCAGCATCGGGGAGATTGAGAACCCTCAAGGGTTTCTTTGTCTACATAGTGAGTTTGACGACTTACTCATGGGACCCTGTCTCAAAAAAAATAAATAAAAATAAAAAGGGCAATAATTAAACCTGGTGGTTCTGACTCGCTGTCTATCGGTGCTTGACGAACACTGGGAGTCAAGAAAGGCTTCCTGGAGGTGGGCTTTGAAGGATGCGTGTAAGTGCTGACCAGGCGAAGGCCAAAAGAACTGGAATTCCCAGGGGGGTAGAAGGGATGGTTCTAGAGATAATCTAGAGCCTGGAGTGACGGGGACCAAGGATGTTGGAGATGCAACAGGGCCCTGGACTTCAGCCCCTTCAGAGGACTTAGCTTTCGCAAAAGGGCTTTTATTAACCCCCCCCAACACACACACACAAACACACACACAGTGCATCTTGTCGACGCTGATGACCTGTTGTGTTTCTATCACAGAACAGGCTCCTCAATGATCCCCACACCCATGCCCCATTCTCATGACAGTGGTTGAACTTGTTCATGTTTCCGTGGAGCTGGCTTGGCTTCTTCCAAGGGTGCCCTGGCTGACTGGGCACTCTGGTAGCTGAAGGCAAGCTCTGAGGCAGGAGGGGTGTAGGGCTGTCTCTTCAACACAGTACTCCTGAGGAACATCTCAGCTCCACCCTGAGGTTCAGGGAGCAGCTGGGGCCAGGAACCCCTTCCTTAGCCAGTCCTGGGGAAAGTGAGCTCTTCTCAGGAAGGACTAAAGATGGGGACTAGGGGGTGGGTCATGGCCAACGGAAGGCAGAGGGGACGGCCTGAGAAGCTGGGTGTGAGCGGGGTTGGGCTTGTTGGCTACAGCTGGCCAGAGAGCCTTCTCCTCCTGAGCCTCAGTCTCCCTTAATGTCCAGTGAAGAACATGGTGCCTCATGCGATGAGTCTGCCTGATTGGCTTAGGCATGCTCAGTGGGTGTCACACCTGCGTGACCGACACAGGCACCAATGTCGGGAGTATGTGGGCTCAGGAGGAGTGGCCAACGAGAGCTCAGGGCCCGGGCCACTGTCCTCCTAGTCTCAGGAGATCCCAGTCGGCGGTGGGTCCTCTCACAGGAAGTTGGGCTCCCGCACCACTAGAGAGGGCTGGCACGAGCCTCCGCCACTCTCCAGGGGCCGGTACACAAAGTGGAAGTCTCGCTTGGGCTCGATCCGGAGCAGATAGCCCTTGATTCGGTGTGGCAGGGCCTCATCGGCCAGCTGGAAGCAGCGTCCGTCCACCAGCACGAAGAGCCGGTAGTCTTGGGGCTGAGCCACCTCAAACTTCTCCGCGCACTGTGCACACAGCGCCTGGGCTGCCGTGTCTGCCCGTGAGGCCAGCGTCCGTGACTGCTGCTCGGGCTCCAGGTAAGACACACAGATGAAGTCCTGCAGGCCAGAGGGAGGGGGCTCTAGGTCAATGGCACCCTGGGTCAGGTCACCCTCATTCCAACATCGGGAGCTAGGGCCAGCAGAAAAAGCATGGTGACCCTGGACCTCTCTTTGCCTTCCCTGACAGAGGGGGTCTCAAGCAGTTGTGAAGCTGAGAGTTGGGGTACCCATGCCTCCTTCTTACTCTGTCACTGAGGCTGGTGGGCAACCCTTCCTTCTCTGGATCTCACCTTCCCCTGACCCCAGGCTTATTCTAGGTGACTCAGTCATGTTTCAAAAATGGATTCAATGTGTGTATGTGCGCATGATGTATGTGTGTCCCAAATGCCCATGTGGAGGTCTCAGGGCAACTTTGTGGAGTTGGTTTCGAATCCCAGGTAGCAAGAGCCACAGGCTACAGCCCAGCCACTGTGAAAAAGTGTGTGTGTGTGGGGGGGGGGGGGCAGGGCTGCCCTACTATGGAGTGAGAACATCAGTGGATGGCTGATGCTGTCAGCCACAACCATGAAGATGCTAATGACCACGTCACATGAGGGGGGGTGTTTGTACACGCACAAGGCGCCAGCGTCGAGGCCTTGCTGTGGTCTTCCGCTTCTCCCAGAAGGGGAAGGTGAGACAGAGGTGCTGTTTGGGAGGGGGGTGTGGTGGGTTGGACCGGCTCATGCCACTGCATACCAGCTTGGGACAGCCTACGGCATACATCTCCTTCTAACTCCCAGTTTGGCATGCCAGCGGAAATTGACCTCACTGGGAAACTGACCTACACCATGGCAAGAGGTAGAAGCTGGGGCCAGAGCTTTCTTTTCCTTCCTCATTGTTTCTAAGATGCTGTTGATTCGAGAAGTGGGTGGAGATGCCGCTTTGGCAGCTTAGAACAAGGATGGGGAGGCAGCACTCATTCTGTTCAGTTGGCGGATGTGAACGGGAAATGGCCTTTCC